GCTTCCATCTCCTGTTATTGCAGAGGCAGCTGTGGCAGTGGATTGATGGGTCCACAAGCCTGTATAGATCCTGGGGTGACACGTCTACAAGTGGGGCCAGGCACTGTGCGGAGCTGAGCCCTAGGAACAGTAAGTTCTCTTGTACCCCTTCCCTCAACCTGTTAAAAGCAAACATCAGCATCCTCGTCCTCCCTCCCAATTCTTCCCTTTCACTCACATCAGCAGCACTGCCCTATGGGACGATGGCCTTCGGCACACTGTGTGTACAGTTTGTCAGCCTGCATTCGCCTGTGACTACTTGGCAGTCTTTGCCACATCAATGGACCAGCTGAACAGCTAGTTGCTCTATAATTTCTTTTAAGCCACTCACTTTTTTCTAAAATATATTTATCTTAAAATTCCCCATATGCCATTTGAGGTAACTCAGGCCACAGAGAGTTACATGCAGTGAAATAAGATTAATCCCTTCTGACTTCTTTAAAATGAACACTCCCTATGTGCCTCTGAAACATAGTCTTGGCCTGGGTTCTTCTCTCCTGTCTGTTTCCTTTAGGTCCTGTGCCCAGAGGGCAGTGGCTAGAACCTTGGCTGGAAACTGTACTGTCCCTTGGGCCCCCTTTCCTTCTTTGCTTGTGGTACTAATAGGTTGGTACTGATGGCATTATGGGTTGGATACCTCTCCAGGAGGCTGTCCTGCACACTGTAGGTATTTTTGGTAACAGCTCTGCTCTCCACTCAGTAGATTCTGGTAACATTCCCCTCCCAGGATGTAATAACCCAACATCTCCAGATGTTGCTCATTGTCCCCTGAAGGTTCAGAGTCACTGGTCATCAAGAACTATGACCTATAAACAACATGGATGATCTTAGCTATAAAACAAAAAAAACCCAGAGTATTGAAGATTAAAGGGTTCTTAGACACAGGTATTGAATGGGCAGAGATCTCAGTGAGTCTGAAAGGCCATCGTGAAGACATTGAGACTCCTCTCCTAGCCAAGAAAAGGGTGGCAGGGGTGTTAGGCTGAGGATGTAGGAACTGGATCTAAGGTGGAAAGGGCCTAGGCACTTCAATATACTGCTATCTGAGAGATGGTTTGTAAAAACAAAAATGAGTGGAGAAACTTTCAACAGCAGGGTTGGGAGCATGAAGGAACAGACTGTGACGAAAGCCATCAGAGGCAAAAAGTCAGAGAAAGGAAGCTGTCAGGCCATCAGAGCCCATATTACTGCTGTGACAGGCAAGGGTCAGCCAGAAGGAGCACAAGCAGGGCTATAGGTGGATGCTTCCAAAATGATGCTGAAGTAGTTAACCCTGTCCAAACCCACAATGAGATACCTCAGGAAGTACTGAGCAGCCTACCACCAGAGTTAGCCAAGCAAAAGGTGGGCATTTCATTTTCATTGTGGCGGTGGAAACAGTTAGAGAGACTCAACAATATGAAAGATCAACTGAGGAAATTTCCAAAAGCAGATATTCTAGGGACACTCAGACTAGGATACAAGACCCTTCAGGACTAAATGACAGACCAACTTTTGGGAAGCAGTAGATTAGATGCTTCCCTAAGTTGCTCCTGTCTCTGTGATTCTGAGGTTTCCACTGAACAAGGTTCTCAAGAACTTTTCCTGTTGGCCATAGTTGGGTCATCACAATCCCACACTGAAGGAGGCTGTGGTATTCTTGTGGGAACTGGAACCCTAATGTTCTTGTGACAACCCAAGTCTTTTAAAAAGCTTTTCTGATTTACTTATTTTTATTTTATGTATGTGTGTTGCCTACATGGGTGTAAGTGAACCCATGTTGTGCAATACCCAAGGAGGCCAATGATGAGCAGTGGATGATCTGGTTGTTCTTTTGGTTGCCTGAAGCTGGTCTTCCAGCTTGTCTGCAGGCTCAGTGGGTATCAGGGAGGGCCAAAGCGATGACACTCAGACCAGGCTCAGTTGGCTCAGGGATGATTCTAGGCTAGCAGTCTTATACACATGCTTTTGACCCCACACAGAAGTGCCCAGCAGCCCTGTAGCTCTCGTTTCATGATACTGGGGCTTCAACTAAAAGCCCCATGAATGTGGGCACAGGCACGCCCATCCTCTGTGCCCCTGAAGAATAGGGGGTAAGGGAGTAGGAAGAGGCGCACCTTCCCTGACCCTCAGAGTCTCCTGACCTTCACACACACACACACACACACACACACACACACACACACACACGATAAATAAATCTGGTGATAGGGCCAGACCTACACATCAGGACAAGCTGGGGAAAGATTCAGCACACAGCTTCAGAAACCCTAGGATGACAGGTGACTCTGGTGAACTTGACTTTGGGGACAAAAATAGTCGAACCTCTTCTCAAAAGTATTTCAGTCCCTTAGAAATCTCCTGGTCAGGTCCTTCCTTCTAGGTAGGTAGCCTCTTGGGATGTGACTGGCTAGGGAAGCTTACAGATCTTTGAACTTTACCTTGGAGCTTCTCAGAGCTCAGCTGTGGATTTTAGAATGGTCACCCCCAGATCCTCACTGAAATCTGTAAATCTGAAAGTCTGAAATCCACAGGACAGGCTGGAAGAGTTGGCATGGCAAAGGAGGAGCTAGAGAGATGCTTAGCAGTTAGGAGAGCTTGCTGCTCTTGCAGGAAAATGGAGTCTGGTTCCCAGCACTCACATCATGTGACTCACAGCCAACTGTAACTCCAGCTCCAAGGGATTAGACACCCTCTTCTGACATCCATGGGCACACACATGTCTGTGCGTGCATGCATGCAGACAGACAAACACTACACACAGACACACACACATGAGCTTCCCTTTCTGGTGGATCTGTGTCAGGTCTCTCTATCTCCAAAGCAGTGTTGGAGTGGAGTTTCTGCAATCCGCAACTATGTAAGACATTAAATAACTTCTTTTTTCCTTAGTAAAGTGTTTATATGAGTCAGGGATTCCACCAGAGAACCAGTAATTAGGAGAGGAAGGGAGGGCGGGAAGAAGAGAGGGAGGGAAGGAGGGAGGGAGGGGAGGGAGAGAGAGCAGAGAGACAGACAAAGAGAGAGAATGAATCTCATGCATTTATCTCATGCAATTGTGGGGCCTGCCAAATCTGAAATCCACAAGACAAACTGGGAACTGGAAATTCCTGCCAGAGTTGACATGGCAATCTTGAGTCCAAAGGCAATCTGGAGGCAAACTTCCTTCTGTTTCCAGGGCCCTCAGCCTTTTCTCTTAGGCATTCAAGTAACCAGTCGTGGGCCCTGCCCACAAAATGGAGGGTGATCTGCTTTATTCAAAGTCTATTGATTGGAGTGTCAGCAGTACCCTCCACAGCAGCATCTAGACAGCTAGACAGCTAGCAACTGCTGGACATTTGGTCCAAACAACTGGGTCTTATAGTCTAGCCACATCGACACCTGAAATAACTGCCTCTGGAGCTCATCCATCCCTCCAAGAAAAACACCTAGGTGACCCTAGTATGTTCCATACAGAACTGGTTGGGTTTAAATGTCTGTTTATTTTCTTACAGAATTTTTAACTTGGAGCAAAAACGAATGCAACAAGCGCCAACACTTCCTGTGCAAGTACCAACCGTAGAGGAAGACTCGAGCGTCTGCCAGCTTTGCACAAGACCTTTCCTCTTCACCTGGTCTCTGAATCCAATCATTATCCTGGAGAGTAAACACAGCAGCTGACACCAATGACGCCTCCAGTTCACTGACTGTCAGGCTCAGAGAGCATAGCGTGGTGGGACAGTCGCTTCTGATATCACAGGGCTTAGCATGCTGGGACAGTGGCGTCTAGTCTCAGTGTTCACTCTGTAATCTTCTTCCTAGGATGCCTGTTTCCTTCTCTTTTCCCTCTGTGTGTCTTAAACAGTTAAAGTGTGTGTCCTCAACTGACGAAAACAATCGAGTTTCTATCGTAAAGGGCAAAGGTTTGAAAACAGAAACCAGAGATCTAGGCGCGAGCTTCTGTCCCCTTCAGCTTCAGCAGCCACTGCCCTCTCTTTTGCCCACATCCTTCCTATCAGGCACCCACAGTTCTTTCTTTAGCCATGGGAATGCTCATAAGTAGAGTCCCTGCCAGTCTGATGTGGCTCATAAATTCATTTATTAAACAGTTGTGTCCAAAGGAACTTGCTCTGTTCCAGTAAAGCAGTGGTGGGAGTAGAGAGGTAAAGTAAGGCTCAAACAAAACTAAACAGCTCCTGACTTTTACCATCGCTCTCCTCCTCACCTTTGCCTCTTGTCTCCCCAGCATCAGTTTGAGTACCTGGTTTGAGCAGGAGAGGGGAGTAATGTGTCTGCCAAACCCAGGGCAATGTTGAATGGGTGGGGTGGTATTAACTATTGAGTTCTTCTGGGCCTGTGATAGGAGATGACAGCCACAGATTTTGCAGTGGACTGACACGGAGGCCCAGGGACTCGCTTCTCCTCTGCCACCAACAACTTGTGTGGCATTGCTCAAATCTCTTTTCCTCAAGGTTTGAAATTCGTATTGCATGGTTGCTCTGAAAATGAGGATGTTATTGTACCTATAAGGTCATGAGGGCTGGAGAGATGGCTCAGTGGTTAAGAGCACTGACTGCTCTTGCAAAGGACCTGGGTTTGATTCCCAGCACCTACATGGCAGCTAACAACCATCCGTAACTCCAATTCAGGGGACCCGACGCCCTCTTCTGACCTCTGTGGGCATTGCACGACACGGGTATACTTAAATACATGCAGGCAATACCCTCATACACATAAAAATAATAAATAATATTTTTTAAAAGAAGGTCATGAGTACATACCTTTCCCAGGTCATGAATCTGCATGGTGGCATAAGAAGAAGCCCTAGGACTCCATGGCTGTTAAGAAGTGTGTGATCAAAGACATGTTCCTTAGTGACAAAGGCCACTCAAGAGGGAAGGCTATGTAGCCTGGCCATGTAAACAGGCTTGGGGAAATGGCCACTTGCTTTATCTATATAGCACGGCCAACCAGTGAACAGTCTTCTACGCTGATCTGAGAATCTTCCTTTTATCCCCTGGGCCAGCTAATATCTGCCATTGAGCGCAGACTAAAGAAGGCTCAGTGAGGAAAGAGGGGACAAAACCATGCTTTGCTGTCAAAGAGGAAAGAATGAGCAATAATGTGTTGCTCTAACAAGGACTATCAATCAAAAAATCTCAAGAGTGAGATTTCAGATGAGGTGACAGGCAGGTGCAAAAGGATCATTCTTTCCAAGCATAGAGTTACTTTCACTGAAACAGCAACCACCACTCCTAAGACGGTTCTGGACAAGTCACTGCTAGGGAAACAAACAAAAGCATCAGATTCCTGAATACAGGCAATAGATAAACTGAGGAAGTCGGGTCAATGGGAGCCATGTAGAACCTTAAGCACCAGACTCTGAGGTAATTCCCATGAGAACGAGAATGTAAAGGAATTGTGGGTGAAAACAGCTCCCCAAAAGAGAAGTTCTCATTTTTAAAAATATTTTATTTTATGTGTATGCATGTATTGCCTGCATGTAGGTAAGTGTACCTGTGTCGTGCAATGCCTGTGGAGGACAGAGGACAGAAGAGGCTATCTGATCCCCTGGAACTAGACTTACAGACAGTTGTTAGCTGCCATGTAGATGCTGGGATTTGAACCCAGGTCTTCTCAAAGAACAGCCAGTGTTCTTAACTGCTGAGCCATCTCTCCAGCCCCCTCATTTTGTTTTCAGAACAAGGCACATGTAAGAAATAAAACACCTGGGCCCTCGAGACTGGAGAGATGGCTCAGTGATAGAGTAACTGATTTTGCAGACGACCTGGATTCAATTCCCAGCACCCACATGGCAGCTAACAACCATCCATAACTCCAGTTGGAGGGGATCCAAAGCCCTCTTCCACAGGCTTTGCACACATGTGGTGCACTTATATACATGCAGGCAAAACACTAATACACATGAAATAAAAAATGATAAAAAAAATCTGGGCCTGACTTCCCTCTGTATTGGTTACTTTTCTGTCACTGTGATATAACACCATGTCCAAGGCAACTTCTAGAAGAAAGAGTTGATTTGGTTTATCTTTCCAAGTGGAGAGTCCATAAAGGTGGGGAGACATGGTAGCAAGCAGGCACGGCAACAGGAACTAAAAGCTGAGCTTAATATCAAGCACAGGAAGCTGAGAAAAACTGGAAGTGTGGCAAGCCTGTGAACTGTCAAAGCCCACCCCAGTGACGTGCTTCCTCCAGCATGGCATACCTACTAAGGTTCCGTGACCCTCCCCAAACAGCACCACCAGCTGACCAAATGTTCAAATACTTGAGCCTTTGGGACCACTTCTCATTCAAACCTCTATACCCTTCTAATTCATGGCATCTTCAAGAGGAAGAGCTCCTACTGACAGCAAAGTAGAGATAAACAGAAACAAAATCCAAAAAGTCATAGGTAAAGCTATACAAAAATAAAGTCTGATACTGTTCCGTAACATATGAAAAGTTCTTTAAACGTTCTGAAGTAGTCCCACTTGAACACCACCACCACTTTAAGCCAGTCTTGGTGGAGTAATAAAAACAAAGCATTCTCCCTGAAATTGCTATGATGCCGGGAGTTTGCATGCACTCACACATGCCGGGTGAGTGCCCTTGGACCTATGGAGCATGGGCAAATGGCTCCCATCTTGTTAGAAGGGAGGCTAGTCCAACAGTTAGCTCTAGAGTTGTGGCGATCATCACTTATGCATTTGAGAGTCTAGTAATCTTTAGTAATTCATGAAGTAGGTGTGTCATTTGACAGATCTTTCTGGAATACATGCTATGTACCTAGACCTGATGTTTGGTGGCTGGGAACCCATCAGTGAACTAAATGGACAAACAGGTTTGCCATTATGGATCATGTATTTCAGCAGGGCTGGAGGCTGTTGATAGATCACAACAAATAAGTGAAGAAGTAAGCATGAAGAGTAGCAAATGCTGCGGTGCGAATACAAAGCCAAGCAGACGTAGGAAAGGCAGAGGAGTCAGGATGTGTGGGATAGTGTGCTGCTTATTTGTTAAAATCCATAGCCAGACTCAAGTAAATGAGAATTTGTTGGTGTATGGTACTCCATAATCCATAGGCAGATTTGAGTTTGCGGTCTGCCCAGACAGGACCACTGTGGTAGCAAATGGTGTCTCGGCAGAAACTGAATCAAGGCTGCCCCCTTTCTCACGGAAAGATACAGCCTCTCGAACTCCCAGAAGCAAAGCAGGCTAGATTTTAGCATGTTTATCCCTTTATGTACTCGCCATAAGAAAGCTACACAGTCTATTTTGTGGACTTTTGTGGACTGAGAGTGAGGCAGGGTGGTTCTTTACTTGGGGGCCAAGAGGCATCCTTTCAGTAATTCTGTCCTAAGGTCCTACTGTAAGACCTTACAGCCAAGAAACTGAACTCAGACTGCAGAAAGGCCTGGAAGAGAAAGAAAATTCAATACAGAGTTATTTCTTGAGTGTTCCTATAGTATAATAGTTCAGCTATGGCTATGGCAGCTTATCACAGTGGGAGCAAAGAACATGGAGCTAAGCTTCTCTGGATCTGTCTGACTTCTCTAATTGAATCTCCTTTTCTTA